GGACGGAGGGCCAAATAATGAACAGACAGACGGACAGGTTCAGGAGAGATGGACGGACGGAGGGACGAATAGTGAACAGACAGACGGACAAAAACAGGAGAGACGGGGGGGGGCGAATATCGGACAGATAGACGGACAAATACAGGATAGACAGATGGAGGGAGGAATGGACGGAGACCATACAGATAGACGAACATATACAGGAGAGACGGACGGAGGGAGGGAGGAATAGTGAACAGGTAGACGGACAGATACGGGGGAGACAGATGGAGGGAGGGACGGTGAGCGTACAGATAGACGAACATAATAATATGCAGGAGAGACAGACGGGGGAAGGAAGAATAGCGGACAGATTAACAGACAGATACAGGAGAGACGGGCAGGGGGAAGGGACAGAGAGCGTACAGATAGACGAACATAACATACTGGAGAGACGGAAGGAGGGAGGGAGGGAGGGAGAGCGTACAGATAGACGGAAGGAGGGAGGGAGAAAAAAAGAGGGAGGAGAGAAGGAATGGAGATATATCGTACGAGGGTTATAGGCTGAGTGATAGCATCGATGAGAACACTGGTGTACCGGCCTGTCTGAGTGAGTAGTGCTGACGGAGGGAGGGAGGGAGGGAAGAGTGTACAGGAGAGACGGACGGACGGGGGGGGGCGGGGAGAGCGTACAGGTGGAGTGTATGATCGTCCTGAGGGAGTCCGGGTGGTAGACGGCCACTAGCGGGGTGAATGGACCCACCCAGACCCGGTGGAAGTACTTGTAGGTTCTGGCGTTCTCGTAGTCAAACTCTCGTCCTTCTTCCCGCAGACCCGGGAACTGTGGGCGGGAGGGGGGAGGAAACAACGACAACACATTATGTCACTCATTCCCTTTTTTTTTTTTGTAAAGAGAAGCACATCGGCACAATAATGGTCATTTGGGCTCGAAAAAGGTAAGACAGATAGACAGACAGAAACAACAAAGGGAAAGTAAAGAAGTAGGACTTACCAGTGGTTTATTTGAGTAAAGAGAAGCAACAATAATGGTCATTTAGTGCTGAGAAACAGTAACACAGACAACAGAGGGAAAGTAAAAAAGTAGGACCTATCAGAGGCGCCCTCCAACCACCCGCTCACTCGTTTCCACGAGCGGAAGTAGAAAGTAGTCGCGTGCTCAGTGCTCAGGTGATTGTCTTGGACAGTTGGCCGTTAGAGCAGGTTGACAAGTGTGTTGTAGACAGGGGTGTATCTGATAAATGACAGACATTATAATGGCTCTTGGCAGATAAGATTATATTACAGAGTACCTAGTTGTGATAACATCTGGTTGACCGTTGATCCGGTTAATGATTGCTATAAAGGTTTCGGTACAAAGTCTCAGACACACGACAGACGAATAGGGAGAGGGCGTATATGTATCCCCCGAACAAAGAAAGATAATACATTATTTTTTCTCTCACTTCTGTATAATGACCTAGATAAGATTGTGTGTTCCAAAGGACGGGCTGGGCCAGATATCGCAGTGGACTCTGAGACGGAGAGACTTGGTTGTTTTCCCAACGTTCACTGACAACGTTCTAATCCCTGGTGGCGGTTCCTCCTTTTACCGATATAACTGCC